GTGTATTTTTTTGGGACATAGTGTTTAGCGAGACAAAAGATGGATTTTCTACTTCTATTGTTTTTTTTCTTTGAAATTATAACGTTCTATTTTTGGGTTTCCGGTTCGACAGCTGAATTTCTTCTTAGGTTTTTCTTTTTTTCGGTGGGAAGTTGGGAATCTTAGTAGCTGAAAATGGTGTGGATGTTATAGAACTATTTTTAGGTGTTAAAATTGCAAAAATTAATGTGGTGATGTAGAGGGGTTGATGTGGATGACATAGGTGATTTGGGATTGTTTTTTGCTTGGTTTTTGATAGATGGAGCTGCATAAACAATTCCCATAAACAGTGCCGTACTGTACAGGGCCGGCCATGACTTGATCTCTCCATGTTTGCTTATTAAACTCCACTTTACTCTGGAGGTGATTGACCATGTTCTGACTGAAAAACAAGAATATATTCTTTTGTTCATATTTTCAGTAGTTACATTGATTTTGAATTGCAATCCAGTTTTATTTTTTTCAAAAAAAAGGGGGTTCCAGCAAACTGCTTGACTATGGTCTATATACTAGGAGACCATATTTTTGGGAAAGAAAATGAACTTGGAAGTTGGGACTTCAGCATAGAGAGAAGACCTTTGCCACCTGTGCTAGACACTAAACTTGGTCCTGGTTCGGCAAAGTTTGCTTTTGTTTCTGTATTTGAAACATGTTGGATTCTGCTTGGCTTGGTGAAAAAAGAGGAGGAGATGTTGCATTTGGCAAAGAAAATATGAGGACTTGGTGCATAGTTAACTGAATGCAGTATGTTTGGGTTGTGATACGGGAATGGATACAAGATGCTGTACATGGATGCTAAATTTCATATTCAAAGGGGGTCCACTTGGTATTTTATTCTGATAAGAATTTCAGTTGAATGACTTATTGAGGCTATCATTTGGATCATAAGCAATAATCATCAACTAAATGGATTCGTGTATTGGGTCTTGTTCTTTTTGCATGTGAAAAGATTCGAGGATTTAGATTCTTTTTATAGTTAAAAGAAGAACACCGGTATGTATGTTACAAATGCCAAAAGAACCTAATGTCAAGTTTTAAAGAGGATAATACATTATATAATCCAAGAAGAAATATTCTTGTATTTCAAAGAAAAAAAAGGAAAGAAATGTTCTATTCTTTTCATTCACTTAGTCACCTACCTTTTCTCTTTAATCCTCAACTAATCTTAATTTTAAAAGAAAATTTGTTAAGACATAAGCTCTTCACTCCCCCCCCCCCCCCACCCCTTCCCTCAATAACTTTGCTCTCTATATCTAATTTTACTCTACCTCAACTTTTCAACTTACTTCAATGCTTGTCAAAGCTAGCTTCATAGGTGTAGAGATTTCATTTGAAAAATAAAATCAGCGAATCTATACCACAAACCGGTTTGAAAAAGTTGGTACATATATGCTAGGGGGTTTAAGCGATCCCGATATCTATGGCTTGGTATTTTTGGTGAATAGGAAAAGTGTTGGTGCTAATGAGAGTAAGGGCAGAGCGAGAGTTTATCAGGTTTTTTTTTTTCAGGGAGAAGATAAAGGTTTAGGGTTGTTTTAGTGTACTCCAGAGTTTGGAGAATGAAACATTTTATATTTTTATGGCTTTTGTATTTTACCAATTATACTACATTTTGGAAGAGTTAAATGTGACCAAGAAGTTTGTGAGTTATTATGGTTGAAAATGATCTTGGGAGACCTAAGGATCAAGTGAGATGGTCCGATGAAACTCTATTTTGACAATAAGTCAGCAATTAGCATTTCCCATAATCTGTTATAGTATGACCGCACAAAATATATTGAAATTAAAAACATTCCATCAAAGAGAAGCTAGTATCAAACAATGCCAAG